AACAATAAAAACAAGAAATAACACATTGCTCCTTCGTTTTTTTTTTTTTTTTTTTTGCCCTCATAATACATTAATGAATTATAATTAATTCCTGCTTTATTGAATCAGGATGTTTGCTTCTGTTAGCTGCTATGGGTTACTTACCCTCAAAAAGAGGAACAGACTACAGGGTATAGTCAAAGTGTGCAGGCACAACCTTAAGTGACCTTCCACATCTGTTCAAGGTCCTGGCTGTCTGCTGCCCTTGGCCTTTGTATTGTATTTAAGGTGCATTGTTTGTTGCCTGTTGTTTATTATCCTGCGGGGATAATAAAGCTGTCCTTGACCTTGATCTTGAGAGAAAGACACAATCCCAGTGTGAGTGCAACCTATGTGTGTTGCTTCAAGCGGATTAACCTCAGTGTCCCTGGTGCAGTTTAGTGCAGAGAGATCTGTGTATCAGTGTGCATTGCTATCTAATACCATAGTGTAGTGTATTTTTTTATTTTAATACGACTAGGAGTCGCCAAAGTCTAAAAGTTTTAAATCATATCAAAGGGAGCTTTAAAAGGAAGGTCAAATTGTTGTTTATTGTCAATTTTATTGTATTTTAATTTGTTTTATTCAATGGTGGAGTACTCTGATAATGTACTTAAATAAAAGTAATACCACAGTGTAGAAATACTCTAGTAAACTCAAATGTTTACTTAAGTATTAGCAACAAATATATTATATATTCTACTATAGTCATAAGTACTCATTATGCAGAAGGGCTGATTTCAGAATAATGTATATTATATCATTGGATTATAATTACTGATAGATTAATTTGATTTCAGTTACTTTTTATACTTCAGGGTAGCTTAATCTATAAGAAGTTTTTGTTCAAAATATTATATTAATAATCTAAATCTGCAAAGTGATTGTGAAACTAAACTTATTAAATAAATGTAATGGAGTAAAAAGTATAATAGTTCCCTCTGAAATGTACGAGAGTATCGAGTAGGCTAATTTAAAATAGAAATACGCGTTAGAGTAAATGTACTTAGTTACTTTCAACCCTGATTTAATTTATTTTTTGTTTGTTCTTTTACAATAAAGCAGACAATTATTTACCTAATGCCCCCTAACCTCTTTACATAAAGTACCACAACAAGAATAAGTCTTTGAATCAATCGTATCTTCTCACATTCGTAGATGTGCATTATTTTACTCTGCCCTCTACTTAAAGTGATCCAAGATGATTTGAGGAGTCACAGCCACCCTAATTCTGCATGTATGGATGAGTTATGATAGCCGTGAGACACTTCCACACTTATTTTCCAGCCCTTAATAGGTTTACGAGTCTAATTTTACTGCTTCATGACTGAGGGCCTCTGATTCATGCTGACACAGCGGGTATTCGTTGGCAAATTACTCCGACGTCTCTCTCAGAAAAAAAAACAAAAAACAAAATGGTAACACTTCACTTTAAGTGCAGTGTAAGTCAACATAAGTGCTTTATAAATGTGCTTACTTACTGCCTGCATGATGCTTTTATGATGATCATGTCGGGAAATGATCCCCGGTTTTAAAACATTAGGCCTTCAACGACATGAACGGGGTATGTGCTGTGAGACTGTTGGGAGCCAGAAGTATATTTGGTACATGTACTTCACCATCAAACTTGTGAACTTGACTAATGCTGCAGGTTTCACACAAACATCCGGACGCGTCGCCACAGCAACCGAAATGTTGGTATTTCCTGTGCAAAAAAAACATAAACCTGAGAGCAAAGCTGAGAATGAGATATTTGCATTCTCAGATTGAGGCTGATTATTATCAGTGGCGGGAATATAAACAGACGCCACCAGACCATGACGAAGGAGTGAAACACTACCTTTGAACACAGAACGCTCAGACAGGGAGCCTTAATCACCCTCAGATCCTATTTTTATTCACCCATCACGGGGACATTCAGCAGTTTATGTAGAAATGAGGCTAAATTAAACTTTTTATGTGATGTACACGGCGCTGTAATGACAGAGATACTCTTTATTTTAAGAGTTTAGCCTTTTCTAAGCCCAAAACGAAAGAGGAATGTATTCGAGGACCAGTGTGCAGGATTTAGTGGCATCTAGTGTAGTAGTCTAGTGCAGATTGCAACTCCCTCGCTTCTCCTTCTTCTTCCAAGCACAAGAGGAGAAACTAAGAAACTCCTGGGCGAAACATTAACGTAGAAACATGGCAGTTCAACATTGGAGGCTCCAATATCAGAGTTCAGGGTTAAGCTCTGTCCTGATCCTTACTGAATTTGGGAATGAATGTTTACCTTTCTCTTGTAATGTTAAAAATGCAAATATTAAATTTGAAAGTAAATGGTAAGAGGACCTGGGGTTCAGTATCTTGCTCAAGGATACTTCGACATGCAGCCAGAGGAGCCCGGGATCGAACCAACAACCGTACGATTAGTGGACGGTTGTTAGTTCTCAGAGAACTCAGAGATTAGCTACTTAACTACTGTTGATAAACTCTTCCAGCAACTGTTATAATTTCAGATAGCAAAATCCTCAGTTGTCGGCTAGAAGTTAAATTTCTGAACTAGTTGCTACAAAAGACTTTTGAGTGTTAAATGTGGCACAGTTGTAATTGTAAAGTGTGTACTGAAAGTGAAACAGTAATTGAAGGGGCAGTGAACTGACTTCCCCATTTTTAGTAGTTTTAACCGTGCATGTGTTAACTGGGCATCAGTACTGTATTTAAATTAGATTGAATGGGTCTTTATTTCTATCTTCAGGTCCAGTGTTTAACATTTAGGAGGATCTATTGGCAGAAAGGGAACATAATGTTCACAGGTATGTTTTAATTAATGTATCATCACCTTAGAATGAGCCTTTTTATATCTACAGTTATCTACATGGCCTTCCATGGAGCTAGTATCGCTCTTGGAAAGGGAGATTGAAGTGAGGGTGTTGCAATCTGCAGCTAGATACCACCAAATCCTACACCCTGGACTTTTAATCATACTTGTAGGAGTAAGACGTCAGAATTAACCACCGCACACTGGAGTGACTTTACTGACAGCGTTGTTCGCTCTTTTGTGTGGTGGTTCTGATTTCTTACTACATGGTCCTGCAACCTACTAGCACCTGACTGTTGTTGGCAGTGCATGGGGAGTTTTGTTTACAAGATACTTGTAGGAGTTTTTAACTGGTTATTAAACAGTCTCACTTTAATACTGATGCCTGTATATGACCTACATAGGCATACAAGATCAGCAAGAAGATTGGACATTTCTATATAATTATTCCTAGCACTACTGCTTTTGTCCACAGGGGCTGCCAGAATCAACAAACAATAAAAGCTTCTTGTTGCTGCTTTAAATTAAAAAATGCAGATAATTAAAACAAACAAACAAAAAAAAAAAACAGCCACAAAATAACAAGCAAATGTAAAACAAAATCAATGATAGCAATGACTGAAAACATGTAGCTTATAAAGCCTAACCCCTCTCACAAAACATTTAGAAAATGTATGAACAAACCACATTTGTATTTCACATCACAACCAATTTAAAGTAAGAGCTGAAAAAAAAAAATGCTTCACTGCCAAACATCCTCTGCATGTATTCATCAGTTGCCTCGGTGTCTGTGGCCTTGGTTGAGATTTTTTCCCTGCGACAGTGAGCGTCTTTGTTGCAGAGAGACAGACGGGCACTCTGGCTTGTCTGTTGGGTCTTGTTTGTGTCTGTTGCCATAGCAACTGTCAGGCCTGCAATGGCAGAGGCAATGGTGGAGGTGGTAGCTGCTACGTGATTCATGCACAGCGAAGGGCGACCGTGCAGAGCAAAAGGTTTGGCAACAGAGCCCAAAAACAAACCCCCAAAGAGGAAGCATCTGGTGGATCTGCAGAGACTCAGCTGCTCCTCCAAAAACATATGCATTTCTAAAAATTACTTTCCTTTTGCCACTGAGATATTTTCTGCAGACTTGACCAAATTTATTCCTGACCTTCGGAAATAGTTGGAAAAAACATTTAGTAGCTGTTCTGGAGCTTTCAATCACATCACACAATCTTTTCCACAGTAGATGGAAGTTTTAATGTCATGGAGTCCATACAAGGCCATTTTCTTATACACACTCATACTCATTTAGAAATTGACATTTCCTGAGGTCAGTTTGGCGCTTATTCAAGAGTAAGATGACTTATTATTAGTGACATTTTACTTGAGATAACAGATACAGATTGTAGTGTTTGGTTTCATGTCACATATATCTGTCCTCGAACATTTTGGGACCAATAAATTGCGTAAATGTTTTAAAAATAATTTAAAAACTCAGTGTCCTGGTGGTCGAGTGGTACTGTAAACACAATGTTGCTGATTGTGTCACCACCATAAAAATATGATCAGAACTTGGGGGATTTTTTTATGCCTTTATTAATAGCTAACATTAGCAAGATAACAGGAAATGGTGAGCAGCTGGAGACAACCCAGACACACATTAAACCCACTTCTCACTTAAAATAGTTTAAAAAATCATTGCCAAGATGTTAAAAAGCTCAGAACATTTTTTATTTTAACATCTACACTGCTGAGGAAGATCATGTGATAAGACTAAAAGCTCCAGAACAAGGACCACGTGGTTGGTTGAGGTCAGTTTAATGGTTTTTGAGCTGTAAATACTCATATTACTGCATAAAATACACCAACCCTGATTCTGCATCACCATCAACACATAACAACAACAACAGTACAGAACAAAAACTGTACAATGAACCCAAATAGTGAACGCAATAACTTTTTATTTTAAGAATCATGCTTAATAGGCTTTTTTCAAATTTCAGTGTTTCCTCATTGTTCTATTAACTCTTAAACTTAAACTTAAATAATAATCCAAACTTTAAAAATAAGCACTTCATTTACTTTCTTTAACAGAAAATTAATTAAATGCAAAAATATATGCCTACTGTATATATCTTTTTCAAATTCAAGGGTCTGTCATACAGAGACTCTGCAGAGAAAAACCAAATGAAGAATGACACAAATTTAAAAAGTGTTTAATCAGAATGTCCACATTAATAACAGGATGAGACTAGAGGACAACGTCTTCACTGCTGTATCATGGGAATACACAATCCTCTTCAGAAAACCCAGAATAAAAACACACGCACACAAAATGTTTCTTCTGAATCAGATTACAGTTTGTTTGCTGGTTTTTATTGGGACTTTCGAGCATGCTGGCTTTCTAGTTTCCAGGCAAAGTTTTTACTGCGGGGCCTTGAACCTGATGAAGAAGCATAGAAAACAAACACATGAGGAAGTGCAACGATGAAGATTTGCTTAGAGTCAAGGTGTAAGCGTGTCTTAACAAATAGGATGAAAATAATGAGAGATTAACAAATGTAGGCAAATGATCTGCTGACAGCTGCTGTGTGCTCACTACCTTTCTATTTAGCATATGCGTGGCTCTCGGTTCCACCGCGTCCAAATCCTGCGAGGAAAGATAACATTAAGTCAACATTAATGGGCATTAAAGCAGGGAAATGATCTCATGGCCTCACCTTTTTTTAATTTCAACAACTACTTCCACCCAAGATAAGAGTTTAACAGAATGGTGCCAATTGTGTAATGACTGGTTTATTGAATGCGTGACCCAATCAGCTGACAGCGTATGCTCTGATGGGATGGGATCATTTACTGCCTTTTTTACACAATCAGATACAAAACATAATTTTCCCACAGGGCGTTCCTGGCCAAGAGTCTCATGAACAAAGGTGACAAAGCCTTTCGCTATCATGGCTGTCAGGGGCCAATCCTTTTTTTCTTACCTTTAGGTCCAAACATTGCACCGTAGCAGGGGTTGTGACAGTATGGCTTGCCTTCATGCTGTAAAAGGCAGAGTTGTATGAGCATGGGTGTATTGAAAATATCAAAACATATACAAATATTAAGGTGCTAAGCGTTGTCTATTTTTGTATTTTGGAGGCAATCCAACAACATTATATGCTTTTTTTGGTGAAAAGTATGCTCAAAACGTCTTTATTAGTTGTCAAAACAAAACAAAAAAAGTACATTATCATAGAAATAACTGTACATTTAAAGACACAGTGAAATAAAATGCTGTATTCCTGTGTGTGTATGTCCAAATATGGTGTTTCATATATAATCCCTCTCTTTTCTTTCCCTGTTAAAGCTTACAATTATACTATTTTGATGACTTGAACTTGGGGGTGTATTCATACAATCATACATTTAAATAAGACTTGGGGCTGCTAGCAAACCTCGTTCAATCTCTTAAACTGCACTTGACCGTTATATATCGTAGTGTAAAGCTGCTGTTATAAGGTACATTATGATACTTGATAAATCGTCTTGAACTTGGGGGTGAATACATTAATGTACTCGTCCGTATTTATTGAAGATATTTAATATATAACTGTCCATTTAATTGCCCGGACTGGATTATGTTTTGCCACACTCTACCCATGGACCCATTTCTAATTAAAATAACAAATTTAGTCAATCCCACCAGGATTTCATCAAATGTTTTTGGATTGTTGTGATGTTTTTAAGTATGTTTTTGCAATGAAATTGTGGGAGAAAGTGAAAATTGCAAAAATAGTTACACTTTTTTTTGTATAAGTCATTAAAAATTGAAGTAAACTTGCAGGAATTCACAGGGGTTGGTTGAATTTGGATTAACTTCATGAGTCTTTTCTTCAGTCTTTCTTCACTAGCAAATAACATAATCATTGAGGTAATCAATAGCTAAGTAACAAATATACCAACTATTAGTATAACTTTTTTTGTTATTTGAATTTCTGTATTTGAGCTTTACTTCTTAAAAACAAATTTATAACTTAAGTTGCTTAATAGTAGCTAAATACTGACTACAAATGAATGAGGTTCAGATTTAATACCCTGTATACATTATGTTTTATCTGTACTGTAGGTACTTCAGGTGTCTCACCTCCGCATGTGAGCCAGGTGACAGCGTCTTGTTGCACTTCTCACACTTCAGACAGGGCCTGTGCCAGTCCTTCCCGAGTGACGTCACCCTCTCGGCTGCCAAACACACCAAAAGACAAAATTAATAATCACAGCCGTGAACTTCCACCACAAAGAGAGCCACTGTCGTCTGCAGAGGAGTTGGAAGTGTCACAGGGTCACACGTGGTTCGGTTAATGCATCTCAGACCAGAAGTATGAGCTCATAGTCCTGAGTGTTTTGGCGCAATATCAATTATAGACGAACAAGATCTTGTCTTTGCAGATAATCTCGATAACATTCTTTGGGTGTGGCGCTTGAGGAAAAAGAGGACAGAGTGTCCCAAAGGAATCTGTCCTCCTCCCGTCTCATAAACTCTGATAAAGACCGTCTTTATCTGCAGGGCTGATCTGCACAAACACTCATCAGGAGGACTATAAAAGTGGGGAGGAACCCGACAGTCTAAGTCTTTAATGGAGAAAGATGGACAAGAGTTTAGACGACGTTTGAGACTCATCACTCGAATACGAGCGAGAATCTGGCCAAGAATCTACACGCAAGGATCCTGATCGCTCGGGGGAATGCAAGCCTGGGAAATTGTGCAAAGAGAAGAGAAGGGAAGGGAAAGGAGAAGTGTAAACTGATGAACTAACTGAACATATGTCATCCTGCAGAGTGCAATACGTGATTAACATCTGCCATCATTTTGTAAAAACATAAAGAAGTCAAAGGACAAGAGGATGTATGAAGGAATGCAAAAGTAACCCTTGTTTCACCTGAAGCCACCGGCCTCCAAACCTTCCCACAGTATTAGCGTTTGACATATTTTCCTCCCTAAAAATAACCCGATGTGGCATGAGATTATGCAACAGGCAGCGGAAACAAGAGAAAGTGCTCCGGGGCGAGGTCAACCTCTCAGCCCAGCAGCATAAAAACATTTCAGCAAAATGCGGCCGGGGGGTTGGAACGAAAGTCTGACCCGAAATAATCACAGTACTTGACTTCAAATAACAAACTAGTGGACTGAGCGAACAGCGGGCTTTCGTCCCATCCTGATCAGTTCTACTCCTCATTGTGTATGGATTCTGATAAAGCTGACTTTTTGTGCACGGGGTTATTTATTTTACCTGATGATATGAAGATATGAGGTGTGACAGACAGACGTATAATGAGATCTGCTCTCTGTATCAACTCGCATTGACTGGGGCATTATGGAGGCGGTCCAAAACACACAATCAGACACAAATCTGAATGGAAAAACACAATGAGGGAGGCCTGCTCAACTATTCGCTTCATTCCTTCCCAAAAAAGATTCATGGAGAGGTTGTATAACACTTTGTCGAGCTAAAAAAAGAGTCTAAGAATGCAGTCTGAAGGATTTAGGGTTGAGTGAATGACCTTAAATACAGGAACCCTCTTTATGGTATGAAGATCAACTGAGTTTAAGTTTTAAAGGAATAGTTTAGCATTTATGGAAATACACTTATTCTCTTTCTGACCAAGAGTTAGATGAGAGGATTGATATCACTCATATCTGCTCAGTAAATTTAAGGCTACAGCTTGCAGCCAGTTAGCTTAGCTTAGCGAAAAGACTGGAAACAGGGGGAAACAGCTAGCTTGGCTCTATCCAAAGGCAATCAAAACTAGCTCACTAATTAACGTTATTCTTGGCTGAAAGAGCTGGCAGGTAGATTGTGTTACTTTTGGACACTAGGCTAGGCGAGCTGTGTCCCTCTATTCTTAGTCTTTGTGCTAAGCTAAGCTAAGCTAACCAGCTGCTGGCTGCAGCGGCATATTTAAAGGAAATAGACTTTTTCTTTTTTTCGTACTAAAAAAATAAAATGAGCTAATGTTAACATCTGTTAATGCAAAAATAGCTTTGAAATGTATTCAAATTTACAATTTACGAAGGCAACTTGTTTGGACGGGGTTAATGTGAGACGTTCGCATCGGCATAATCTGCACCTTCACAACTAGAAACATAGAAGTGAGTTTGGTGGTGAAACTGTGAATGATGGAACAAACCCCCTTATTGGTTGAATTTGCATTAATGGTTACGATAGCAACCTCGCAACTTCCTGGAGGGACTGCTTAGCATAAGACGAGGGAAACAACAAGCCTGGCTTTGTCCAAAATCAGCCTACAAACACCTCTAACTCTTACTAATTATAGAAATAGTTTAATTTTAGGAAATAATTTACTAGAGCAGGATAAGAACATTGATACCACTCCTGTGTCTATACACTAAATATAAAGCTACAGCCATGAGATGATTAACGTTACAGGGAAACAGCAAGCTGGGCTCTGTCCAAAGATAACAAAATTTGCCTATTTAGTTTATTTAAAGTCAGTTGACCAGCAGTGGAAAGCAGGAGCAGTATATTAAAATTTCTTTTGTCTAATGCTCGAGGTGAAGCTGGAAGTGGATCAAGTTCCCCCCTCATCATTCAGCGGGGGCAGCGGTAGCCTCATTGTTTCCATCTGAGAGCTTAGAAACATTAAGACAGATGAGCAGTAAAAAGAGTAAGGGAGGATGTGGAGCAGCGAGGTGCGATGGAGGCGATCACAGACTGCAGAATGAAGGAGTGAGACATGGAGCGAGTTTATAAAGGAGGTCTGAGGGGGGAAATTGATGTAGACAGGTCAGGACGAGGCTACCACAAAAAGAATACAAAGCTTTGTCTTAGGCTATATTTCCCTCTTCCTGCATGGAAAAAGGAAAAAGACTGGTCGGCTCGTTCTGGACGAAACAAACTGGTTCGCTTGTTTTGGCCCAAAGGGGGAAGTTTATCCATGAAAGGGAAGAATGGGAAGCGTGGCTCCCCAGTTGCACGGTCAATTCATCTGACTGACAGTCCAAAGACTTGGCTTTGTACTCTGTATTGGCCTCGGCCCTCGGCGTGTCTCTCCAGAGAAGATTTACTCTGTTGCACTACTGAGCGGCAGACAATCTGGTAAATGGATTAAGACACGAAATAAAATGGAACTGTCCCTTTTCCTCCCCGGATGCTGTAATTGCTCCCTGTTTGATGGGATCCTCGTGAGACGGACCAACAAGATCGCTTTGGAAAGGAATGAAGCTGTCGAGTCATTATTCACGTAGCTCGTCAGTCATCGAGAAAGACAATTCAATTTCTAGAGGGAGCACAGATCTTAAACTGCAACGTAACTTGATAACAAGAAAGCTTAAGTGACCTTCCGAGGCATTCATTTGTAAAATTATACATATATATATTGACTATAAGAGGGTGGACTGACAGCTAAAGAGAGTGAGCAAGTAAGCAAATAAAGGTGTATTAAAAATCTAGTGATTAAATTAACTACATTTACTCAAGTACTATTCTTTTACTTGAGTATTTTCTATTATCTTCTTCAATTTCAGAGCGGAAAATTTTACCTTTTTACTCTATATGATTAATTATAGATTATACAAGTACCCAAACAAGTAAACAAAGCAGGTAAAATTAGCTCCAGCTCAACCAGCTGCAGCATTAAAGTGCTGCGTACTGTGTGTGAGTGCATCAGTGGAGGAGGAGGCCTTCAGATCAATTACTTAAAGGATTCTACTCATTGTGCAGAACTCAGTGTCGTATTATTGTATCTGTGGAGCCTTATTATCAGCAGTGGAAAGTAATCAAGTACATTTACTCAAGTACTGTACTTAAACACAATTTTGAAGTACTTTACTTAAGTATTTCAAGTTTCTGCTGCTTTGTATTTATACTACTCATCAGTGTCAGAGGGAATTATTGTACTTTTTAGTCCACAACATTTAGTTACAACACCAGTTACTGATTACTCTGCAGATTAGGATGTTGCATACAAAGTATATGGATGTAATATTATGATGCATTATGTTTTAACTACCCAAAAGTACATAAAACTGTTCAAATGAGCTCCACTTTGACCAAATACTCCACCAAGTACTGGTTACATGCATTAATATCCAATAATGAGCCTCAGTCTGCACAACGAGTACTTTTACTTTTGAAGTGGCGCTGTGACTCCCTGTAAAACTTATTTAACATGTTATTCGTATAATATATAAAGTCACGCAGTCATGTGCTTGCAGCTTCTTGCTTTGTCGAATTTCCTGTTTCCTCATTTGTGCAGAAAACCCGCATTTTTTTTTTCTTTTGTTTTACATTAACCAGGAAATGGATGAAACGCATGAAACATGACATCCTTGCATTAAAAACATGAGAATAAAAGAGAGCAGCCTTACCGAAGTAGACCTCCTTCTGGCACTTTGGGCACTTTGGCATTTTGTTGCAGCTGTGTGTGTGTGTGTGTGTTAATGTAAAAACACGGTAGGTATCCTGCGGATGAAGAGTGACTGCAGCTGTACGCACTGGCCCACCTGTTAGCTCTGGCTGACCACGCCTCGCTCTGAAGTGCAGATGTGCGCTCCTCCTGTATTTATAGCACCGAGGAAATAGTTCAACTCAGAACTTTTTCTAACCAGTGGGAGAGGCTTGTGTTGAGGCTTGGACTGAGAGTACGTGCCAGAAAACATCTCATTGGGCACTGATGTGAAGGAATTTGGCTACTGCACTTAAAGTAAACTCTCCTTCTTTTGAGCTTTTTTAAAGTTTTTAAGAGAGATTTATTTATTTGTATGTGTTGTGTAGTTAAAACATGCCACTTTGGTTGTCTTTATTTTATATTTACTTGCTTCAGAGGTGTCCACAGTGTCCCCCTCCACTCAAAAAAAAGTTCAATTTGATTGTTTTAGCTTTAATGTGCAGAATCATATATGTATAAATTAATAATCTGGGCTTTTATTTGCTTTCAACTCAACCTTCCTTTATTTGGCACATGCTTTAATTTAAAAACTCTTGCTCAGCAAAGATGAGAAATACTATGAAATCAGTATAATAATTATTAGAAGCTATTGAATAACATTAATTATAAATCATTCATTTGATCATCTTTGGCTTCCAGTGCCTGAATTGGACCAAAAGAGGTGCCAGTACCCTGATTCTGCACAACCCTTAACCCGTTTTTATCTCTTTTTAACATTTTCTGTGGTGTTTTCTCACTCGCAGAAGGAGGAAAGTTTCTTTGCGCACTTTAAATCTGAGTTTCAGATGACTTTGTGTCATCACAGCTAGCTTGGAAGCAAATCATAGTCCAATATGCAACTTACACACTTGTGATACAATATCTCACTATACTGAGATGTCTCTTTTGAAATAAACAATATTTGTGAATTCGTAGATTCTGGAGTTTTTAATAAGGTATGACATCTGTTTATTGAACTCATTCAAAATAATCTGATATTTCTTATAACATGTCTGGAGTGAATATTTAATGTAAGAATACTGTACGAGAACATAAAAACACAATAATGTTTGGAATTTATAAGTCATGTTTTATCATTAAAGTGCAGAGTCGGCACTTAGTCACTGGGATTTCATACTCTAGTCCAGAGGTTCCTGAACTTTTTCATGTCAAGGACCCCCGCAATAGATGCAATGTAGAGAGGATACTGTCTTGAGGAATTTCCTATGAATAGTTTTTTATTTTTAGGTTTAAAGATAATAAAAAAAAGTCTTCATAATAAGTCAAACTAGGAACATTATAAATAACAATCAATCAAAACGGCAAACCAGATTTCTTTCTTCCAAAAAATGTGATAAAAGTTAAAATATTTCTGGGGATCCCGTTCAACTTACTCAAGGACACATGTGGGTCCTCGGACCCCAGTTTGGAAACCACTGTTCTAGTCTAATTAATCTTCACAACTCCTGCAGAATGCCTCTGTGGAATAAACTCTAAATGATTAATACTCTGTACAAAAAGCCTTTATTCTTGTTCTCCCATTCAGGCTGAGTTTCTTTTACACCCTCCCTGCTGCAGAGCTGTGTGAACAATGATATAATTTAGCTTAATTATCATACATGATCACGGGGCCACAAGAGGTCAGTTTTACTTTTGTACTGTAGATGATAGAGGGATGTTTATTGTAGGTCACACTGTCCTTTGAAAGGTTCATCTGGAGGCGTTTGAATTTTAAAATAAAAAGCTAATGCACAAAGTATAAACGTTTAAGGTTAATTTAAGTCATCTTCTAAATTATGGAAATTACATTGCTCCCATCTGAATCTCCCAACACTGATTACAGGACATAATGAACTAAATATCTATATACAAAAACAATGAAAACAACACAACAAGTGAGATAAGTCGGTGCTGCCAAGTTCTCATTCTTAATTATTTACCCTCTGTGTGTGTGAGTAAATTGACCTCCCTGCCGCTCTGTCATAATCTGCTGGATGGGTGCCTCCACCGATCTATTCACAATGCCGAGATAACTCACCTGATGAATAATACAAGTCAAGGTGAGGCAACAGAGCTGGCAGTGACTGAGGACAAACAACACACACCTTTGCTCTGCTGTGCATGAGTTCTTTCTACATGGTCTGTATACAATTATTATACCTTACAGAAGGGTTGCTTGTGCATAAATGGCTGAAAATAGACAGATAAGTGGTAAATTAAAGGGCCAGTGTGTAACATTTAGGAGGATCTATTGGCAGAAATTGAATATAATGTTCATAGGTATGTTTTCATTAGTGTATAATCACCTAAATTTGAGAATCGTTGTGTTTTGGCTACCTTGTAGAATGAGCCTTTCTTATCTACAGACGCCGTGGGTTGCCTTTGATAGAGTTCACCATGTTGAACCGCCATGTTCAGTAGCTCGTCTGTTGGATTGGACCACACAGGCCAGCCTTCGCTCGCCACGTTCATCAATGAGCCTTGACCACCCATGACCCTGTCTCCACTGCAGTGGTCAGTACCTGTCTTTTGATAGGTACTGACCACTGCAGACAGGGAACACCCCACAAGAGCTGCAGTTTTGGAGATGCTCTGTCGTCTAGCCATCACAATTTGGCCCTTTGTCAAAGTCACTCAAATCCTCACGCTGCCCATTTTCCCTGCTTCTAACACAAAATGTTCACTTGCTGCTCAATAAATCCCACCCACTGATGCCATGATAACCAGATAATGATTGTTGTTCACTTCACCTGTCAGTGCTCACAATGTTATGGCTGATCGGTGTAGTTTACTATTTAATAGAATTAATTAAATATAACTCAGTTAAAGTCAAATGAACACATTTGGAACAAGGCTGGGGTGTCGGACTATAAATCCAGGTCAGGTAGCCAAACAGCTGATGACTTGTGATTGCATCACGATAATGATGATGATGATGATGATGATAATGTCAGTGTTCCCAGAGCTCTCAGTGTAATTATTACAATACAAACAGATTACACCCAACTCCAGAGCAACTTTTGACCTGATCAGTGCAGTTAAAAAACATTATAATCTGTATGTGTGTCTGTACAGTAGTGTGTGAATGTGTGTGTGGGCGTTTGTTATGTTGTTATGCTTACTCTTATGTGGTGTCTACACACGCTACAGATACAGACACACCTTCAGAGGGAGTTTGAAAAGATAACAAACCTTCTGAGGAGCTCTTGATATATCACCATGGCAACCAAACAAACAGCTGATCTTGTCAAACTGTGTGTGTTTGGCATGGATCTTTGGTACTTTGGAGCATTCTGTGGTTTACTGATTGAGAGAAACATGGAGGTAAATTTCCATTTTTCTAGTCTATTAATTCTTGCCTGATGTTGAATGAAAGTTAAATCCCAGTAAACAAAGTATTTTCATGTAATTCCATGTTATGAAAACTCTCTAAACATCTGGTGTCAGGCAGGAAACTGAATGTGTCTTATTTGGAAGAAGAAATATTACTAAACATGCGACAGCAGGCGCCAACGTGCTCAAACAAAGAAAGAAGATTAAGTTTTATCCCGATGACGTGACCTCAAATCCTTTTCAGAACTGGTTTACTGTGACAGATTTACCTGCAGGCTTTTGGAGCCTTGTAATTTTTCTTCATGCGATGTCTTTTTCATTAAATCAAGGATGGCAGGCAGAAGCTCTACCCACTGTAGATTAATCAGAGAGCTAATCTCTACCAGCCACCCAGGTAGCCGAGAGTCACGCCTCGGCGCCTTGCACTCTGCTCCTGGGGTCGCCTGGGCTCTCGTCCAGCCGGTGAGGTTGGCCCCTGATGTGCCTCTGTTACTGCCTTGTAATTACAACCTTGCAGCGATCAGCCCTCCTCCCTTAAATTAGACACGATTAACATGGCGGTTTCATGTTCTACATCACTAATCAAGTACGGCAAATACACACATGACTGCTACCACATGAAGACATTAATGTGCACAGTAGAGACAGCAGGCTACTGCACACTTCCTGAGTCATACAGGCAGAAAACTGATTCCAGTCAGTGTACCAGAAACTAGTGAAGTGTTTATATTCTACAATTTAAATCTTACAGGTATAGTTTTGTAAGTTGCTTCCACAATTGTTTGGGGGTTTTATTAAGATAAACTTAAGTGTTTCCTGTGTTTGGTTTGTACATTCTGTGCTACTACAGAAACATGGCAGTTCAACATGGCTTATTTTCAGGTCATTATACACTAATGAAGACTAACTATGAATATTACATGACATTTCTGCCACTAGATCCTCCTAAATGTCACACCAGACCTTTAAAGCGGCTATAATCTACATTTCTATCTTACAGCAGCGTTGCTCGGTGTCTGCTGGATGTGTAAATGGACTGTTTCCTTACAAGTTTTGCCACATGAACCTAAAAGGTTGATCATAAATAAGTGTTGACAGCGGACCCCAAGGCAGGTTAAAATAAAATATGAATTAAAAAAATCCAAAACCAAAAAGGGTCAGAGAGATTTGGCAGGTGACTCATTATGATGAGATTTGGTTTCCGCCCTGGGCCAAGCAGCTACTTTTTGAGTTATAAAATGTGTATCTCAAAATACTTTCAAGCTAAGCGACGATGGTTTCTGTCTATTTTTGTTTTGCATTTCAGCTTCACAGCTGCCAGACTCGAGAGCTGCACACTGGAATCTTGCAAAGCCAGTTTAAAAGCTTTAATACATTTACGACTGAAAGTCTGGCACCCAAAACTGGGATCTGACATATTATGTCACGTTTTCCTCTAAGAGGATAGTCGCTGCTTTTTTTGAGTTCCATTTGCATCATTCAAACACATTCAGACTGCGAGGTGACCTCTGACCAGTGAATTCATATGATTAAAAAACGAGTTTCCCAGTGTGACCCCCTTGGCTGAAATTCACCCAAACACAGAGGGGCTACTGTAAGAGGAGCTACTGGGAGCAACCGTCAGATAGAGTGCGTTTTACTTTTGGGAGCCATAAATCCTGTAGCATGACATCATGGCGTCCATGTGTCCAAAATCTGCTCTTTGTGAAAGTAGTCCATCATACAAGAAATAAGAAAAACATTTAATCTGACATTTAAACTGTGTGAGCATCAGTCAGAAAGAGGC